TGACAGCTCTTCCAGCCTTCCCTGGCTCCCTACCCTTTTCAGTCAAAGACATTTGCCCTTATAAATACCTGGTACTTCTATTCATGTCTTGGTGTCTTTTTCTCAGAGGACCTGGACTAACAGCTGTCTTCTTAAGATACCCCTTCAACATCATCCTGGGAGTTTCCTTCACCTTCTCTTTGGTTGACCTCTTGTTTTCTAGATCCTAGGTTGTCATCTTTTTTGATTTATTTCCTATTTTGGTGGAATGCATACTCCACATGGGAGGTAAAATTGTTGAAGCCTTGCATGACTGAAAACTTAATTTTAATCTCACCCTTGAGGATGATTTGGCTGGGTATGGAATTCTAGTTTGGAAGTAATTTTTTATCAATTTTAAGCACATTCTCCATTGCATCATAGTTTTCAGTGTAAATGTTAAGAAGCACTTGATTTTTGATGCTTTGCATGTGACCTATTGTTCTTTGTAGAAGCATTTATAATCTCTTTATCCTTGATGTTTAGAAATTTCAGGAGCTATACCATAGTTGTGTGTGTGTGTGTGATGTTTCCGTCATTGTGCTGGGTGCTCAGTGGATCCCATCAGTGAGAAGACACTTGTCTTTCAGTTCTGGGAGGTGTTCTTATGTTCTCATATTTTTCTTCTCTGTTCTCTCTTCTGACTTCACATTTATTAGCTGTGGTACCTCTTTTATCGAGTTACCAGATTTCTTATTTTCTATCTCTTGTTTTCTTATTTTTTCAAGCAATTCATTTCATTTCAGTTAATTAAAAAATTGTTTTTGCAGATACACACAACAGATGACCCATTTTTAATGAAATACAGTTAATATCTCTTTGCCATCTCTAATCTTTGGAATATTTTCAGAATCAGTTTTCTTCATAGTATAAATTTATTTTTGCATTATTGCAGATTATCTGACTGAAATTAGATGAAAGACCATTCAAGACAAGACTGAAGAGGCAAGCAGGGATGAGCATTAACTCCAGGGCTGTGCTGTTCCCTTGCTGGTACCTTCAGAAGTTGCCTCT